AGGTAAACATCCGGCACCTTTTCAAAGCGGTCAAAATATTTGGAAAACCTTTCCTCGATAAAGGACAGCAATGAAAGGATGGGTTGGTAAAAGCCATTATAGAATTGGACGGCCGTCTTATTGGGGGTATTCAGTTGTTGCTCCTGCTGGTAAAGCCTGTCCAGTAAATGGGTGCAGCCCAGCTGGTAGTTTTTGATAAAAACTTCGATTTCTTTTTCTTTGGTGAAGGCAAAGACCTCCTGCACCAATTGGGCTTTGATTTTATCGGTTTCTTCCAGCGCTTCCCGCAGGATCCTGTTCCTGTCTGCTTCCGCCATTACAAAATTTACCGGCTGGCCGCCGGGTGCGGCCGCATTTACCAATTGATCCAGGTGTTCCAGTTGTATGCCATGACTGCCTCATTTGTCCGGGAAATAATTGTCTCATGGGTACAGTCCTGTTGCTGACTGTAAAATTAATGGTCAATCGTTTGGCAAATGGAAGTATTGTATTGGCAAATGGAAGTATTTTGCAATGTCGTTGATATCGCCATAACACTTTGCTATGGCGGTAAAAACTTATGAATAGTCAATGATAACGGTCATAATTTAGAGCCAGAAAACGGCCTATTTGCGCCCGGCTGACTATATGTTAATGCCAAATCCATTAGTTGTTAGCGCTTTATTGTTTTCGGGCAAAAAATCATACTATTATATTTATAGCTTATTGCAATTAGACTGACCTGTCACTGCATTGTATTGATTTCCAATTATTTAGTTACCAATGTAACCGCAAAGCATATATATATTATAAATACATGGAGTTAAACTTGAAACATATCGCAATTACATCAGCATTTGCAGAAGATTTAAAAAAAGGGTTGTCCATGCTTTTCGAAACTTATGGACAAGCACTTTACGGGTTTTCAATACATAAATGGGGGTTAACTGAAGACGAGGGATATGAAACGCTTTATAAGACGATCGAAACAGTGGGCAAAGTTATCGCGAGGTACGAATTCGAATCGGAGAGTCATTTTTCTAATTGGCTTTTCAAAATTCACAAGAACAATATCTTTCAATTATTAAGGTCCAAAAACCGTGCGACAGCTGAAAAGCCTGTGATAATAAATTTTGAAGATTGGGAAAATGAACTGGAAAGTGGAAACTCCGGCGAAGAAGGAGACCACGGTAATGGCGATATCCATTTACTGAATTACAGGGATCTTATCGAAGAGTTGTCGGTCATTAATCCATATGAGACAACCGCTGACCAGGGGAACCTCATGCTTGCAATGCAGAAGGCTTTGCAGCAGCTGAATGAAACTGATCGCGAATTATTGTTACTGAAAGTCAATGGTTATAATTACAATGAAATCGCTGTAATGCTTGGAATTGAAAATAACCAGCTTAAAGTAAAGTTCAGCCGCGCAAAAGGCAAACTCGAAAAACTGACATTATCAATTTTAAATGAAACTTATAATGAAAAAAGAAATTAATAGCGCCCAACCATTTGAGCAATTGATGCGTGCATATGTTGTTTGTGGTAACGTAGATACACCTCTTCCATCAAATATTGATAAAGAGGCGGAATTCGTTTTTTCTGGCAAGTACGATACAGTTTTACCAAAGGAAAAAGTTCAGGCCCTTCTCGGTTTACTAACTATTGCATTGTCCAAAGATAGTTTAGGAGCACTGGTGACCAGGAGCCTTTTAGATACTGGTGTGGATGAAGTAATGCTTAAGTCTGCGACCGGTCTTTCTTCGTCTTTATTAGAGGACATCAAATCAGACATGATTTTCACCAATAGCATACCGGTTAAATCGCTGGTTAAGTTGTTTAAGTTTTTAAAAATATCTGTAGCAAATGCCAAAGATGCGATACAGGTTACATTTGAAAAACTCAGGGAGGAGAACCGGATGCTTATCGCTATAAATACAAGTGCGCGTCCCGTTTACAGGAGAGGTAATAATAAACGGGAAAGCTCCCTTGATTTCAAGAAGCTAAAAACGGATGAGAGTTACCTCTACCAGAACAAAGAGGCTTTAGATATTTATACGAAGAGAATGGAAGAATTATTTAATGAACAACAGGGGTAATCGGGAAAAAATAAATGCATGGAATGGAATGTGTCAAAACTATCAAGCCTGAGACAATGTCACCGCAAGTTTTATTTTGCGTATGAGTTGTCAGATCATCATTTCAAACACCCGGTGCGTCGCAAAGCTTTTGAACTTTCACAATCAAAAAATCTTGCGATGTGGCAGGGTTCATTAATTGACAATGCTTTTGCTAAATTCATCATTCCCCTCTATGTAAATAAACAAGAACCGGACTTTGTAGCCCTTGGCGAAGAAATTGTCGCAATGGCGAAGCAACAATTCGCTTTTTCAGAAAGCAGGTTGTATCATCAACCAGGCATGACCAAGAAGAAAGCAGGTGATGCCTTTGCTATTCTTGATATTCATGAATGCGGTGTGAAATACTCAGAGGTGGATGTGGCAAGGGTTTACAGCAATATTCAGGACATTATTAATGAATTGCCCTCGATGCCCTCGCCCGAACCAGAAAAAACATTACATGAATATCTTTCAGAGGCAAATTATCTTCAGCCTGATATCCAATACTGGCGGTATGATTTCAATGGCGTTACCTTAAATCCACAGATTGACATGGTCCGTTTTAAAGACAAATCGGTGCATGTTATAGACTGGAAAGTATCAGACAGTACTACCAGCGATTATTCTAATCAGCTATACCTGGGAGGAATCGTTGCTTACCACAATATCAGGAAAAATTTTAATGAAAAAGGTTGGACGCCCCCCGCGCAGAATGCCTTCAGCTTATTTGAATTTAACCTGATGAACGGGAATTCGAAACAACACCAGTTTAACCGGCACACAACGGCCAAAGCACTTGACTATGTTTTTAAATTCAGCGGCGAACAGGACATTCTTTCCTCGGGAAAAAAATGGAACGAACTTGATATGGAAGATTACGAAACAACCGACAAAAAGGAAACTTGCATGTTTTGTAAGTTTAAACCCCTCTGTATTCATTTAATAAAGAATAAATCCGTTTATGATGAATCCTTATATAATAAACTGGTTCAGAATCAACAACTGGCATGAGCTTAATTTCAGGTACCGCCTTGTCGAAGTAACTGTTGATGGCGCAGGTGAAGATTCAAAAGAATTCCATCGTGGTTTTTTTAACGCAATGAACCACCTCGCACATGAAACGAAAGGGCCGGTAGCGGAAGGTTACCACGCAGGCAAAAGACATATCGCAGTAAGGGCAGGCGCCGAACTGAAAACCCAGTATATCAGTGGCAGCCCTTTAAATATTTTATTGTCGCCTGTTGCTGGAGAGTTTTTTCTGAACGCGAAAACAATGGACGAAAAAAACTTACAGCTTGCGCTGAAATTTTTAGAAAGCAGTGTAAACTGGCAGTTCAATGCCAACCAGGAAATCTGGGAGGGCGGCAATTTCACATTCCTGAAAAAATGGCCACTGTATGCAAATGGGAACGCTGAAACAGAAATATACCCTGGCTTCCGTTTTAAGATCGTGGCAGAAAATAAAAACAATGTTTATTTCTGTGTCGATCTGGCTTTCCGGTATACAGACAAACGAACATTGGACGAACAACTTAAACTAGTGCCACCTGAAAGGCACACTGATTTTATCAATGGCCGTAATTTTCTTTACCGCAATGGGGATAACTGGTATACGGTTAAAGGCAAATCAGTTGGAAAATCAATTTCACAGCATTTAATAAGTGCCCACAAGGGAAATATCTCTGTGTATGATTATATAACAAAAGAAGGTAAATTCAGCCAGGCAAAGATCAAACAACCATTACCTGCATGTTCTGCAACATTCTTTCATAGTTATTTTGGAAATACAGAGAAAACTGTATCCGGCGCGGCATGCCTTGCAAAAAGAATACGCATGCCGGAAGATGACATGCACAGGTTCTCTATCAACGCGCCTAACAAGCGATTTTCAGGTGTTGAATTCTATATCAAAAAATATTTTAAGGGGCTTACCTTCAATGGTGTCTTGCTCCAGGTTGATGCAAGGCCAGTAAAGAAAACATGTAAAGTGTTCCCTTTACCAGGACTGTTGTATGGACGTAATGCAAGGCTGAATCCATATGAAACAGGCCGGCAGAGCTATGGACACCCGCTCGATAGTTTTCCCAGGAGACGAAGGGAATTTATATACAATTTTGGGATTTTGAATAACAATCCCTTTACGGCACAGCATGTTTTTTTTCCGGACAATATAGATTTTGAGTTTGGCAAAGCGGTTAAGACAAGTTTTGAAACATGGATGAAGAAAATCGCACCACGTTTTCCCACGGTTACATTGCATGCTTATAAAATGAAATCGGCACCGTATGCGCACATGGTATATGCAGATCTCAAGGAGTATATAGAAAAAAATGCAATGAGGGACAGCAGTATTCTTTTCATTTTACCTGACCAGATAG